GTGTTCAAGTGAGGCGGGCAATCACTCTGGGAGCTACTCTGTCCATTCTACTGGACATTCAAGCACTATTTTTCCTTAACACAATTAAAAAGAAAAATTGAAGGCAGAACATCATTTCTGTTCCATTGACTGCTAAAGCACAATTCTACTCAGGAACTCTACAGGTTCTCTCCTACAATCCAGGCACCTCAACTGTGACAAGGTATCTGATGGAAACTCAGCAGTAGGGTCCACACCAGGATGCAGCTAAGCATGGCAGAGGCTGCCAAGGAATGAGTGCACAAAAGACTGAAGCTCAGTCCTGAGGGAAGGCCTAGCCAAGGGAGACCTGTGTCCTATGGCATCATCAGTCTATCTTGCAGAGCTAATGTGACATGTTTCTGAAAGGAACTCTTAAGGCAACGAGTTCAGATTTCCCATAAACCATTTGCACACTTTCAAAAGACACAGAAGGGCATCCGAACTTAGATCTTAGAATGTGTGTAAGTATCCTAGGCAGTATGCTGAAACATCTAACAAGGGGGGAGACAATGCGGCCCTCTTGTTTGAACACAGCCTGCAGGTTCTTGTGCTAATATTCCAATCTTCAACACAATATTGTCAAAAAACAAAACACAACAAACTGTAAAATACTTTAATATCAATTGGTGAGATTCAAGTAAAATTAGGTTAAAAAGCCAATTCATAACCCAGTAGGTATCTAGAATACCGGAGCACTGAACAAGGATTGTGCATTTGATGTTCATGAGAAAATACCAGGATGCAGATGAGTACATAGAGCTAAAAGGTGTCTTAACTAATAACAAGGAAAGGAAAAAAAACCAAAAAGCAAAAAAGCATCCAGAAATACTGTCTATGTGATATTTATCCTGGGTTCCAGAGAAGCAATTTAAGAGGTACCAAATCCATCTTCCTATGTAAACTTTAAGGTCAGCTAACTCCTTAGGATATCTACAAATGACATGATACATACAAATTTGTATTATTAATACAATCATTAAATAAGTGCTTGCTACAGTTAAATATTGAGCTGTTCACAATTTTTCTGCTACTTACTCTGATAAGGATACCAGCAAATAGTCTAATATAGAAACGCCAAGATATATTAATAAGCAAAAGAAATATGCAGTAGTTGGTTTTTTAATTCCCCTTAGAATATTTTAAATTCTTTATCCCTCCCTAAAGCAATGTACAACATAATGCACACAGTTTCTTAACAAATATTCAATGACATGATTAAGGCTCTTTTTAATAAGGTGGCATGAAAGTTGTTTTTTGTTTTTAATTCTTGCTTTTATTGATAATATTTTTAATTCTTCATATTGTTGATAGGAGTAATAATGCAATCCATAAATGTTAACATTTTTCTCTTTATGAAATAAGCCATCACAAGACACATAAACACAAAACAAATTCAAGACAAAACGAAAGTACCCTGAAAGCTAAGTTATTCTAAATACCTTCAGTTTAAACACTTAAAAATCACACACACACACACACACACACACACACACACACACACACACACACACAAAACCATGCAAAAGTTGGTTTATGCCACCATCTAGTGGCTACAGAATATAGCACAGATGCACAAAAGTGCTCACCCAAGGAGGTAAGTGCAGAATACATTTGCCCAGAGATGTAGATCCAGGAGACAAGCATCTAACGTGTAACTGTCCTCCTATCTGGCTAAGGTTGCAACCTTGACTGCTTCCTTTTGCACAGTTTCATGAGTTCAACAAAATCAAGCAGGAATAACACCGAATCTGTTTTTCTCTTAACCGGCCTCAAATTTTATCACCCTGTAAATGGTCCTATTTGTTATATGAGGCATTTACATGAATTTATTATCATTTACAGGCATTTATTATCATTACAAAAAAGATAATAAAGAGATAGTCAGAAAACCCCCATATGCTGCTATAAAGAGTATAAATTTATAAAGCATTTTGGTACTATTTGGTAAAGATGAACTCACAATGATTTTCAAAATTGCTGGGTGATATTAACTAGCTATGGCCTACAACTGGATTGACAACTCAAGAACTAAGTAATTTATACCAAAACTTACAAGGTGATAAGGATTTACATAGTCTGAGAAAATTATCAGCTGAATCTGAGAGAGAATTGGCTTTGGTAGAAAAGAAATTACAAGATGCACATGAGGATCATCTGGATCCAGAGCTTGATTGTATTCTGGTTATTTTACCTTCTATGCATTCTCTTGTAGGAATTCTTATGCAGAGAAAAGATAATATTTTAGAATGGATATTTTTAGCCACACAAACAGAGTAAAAAAAATTAAATACCTATGTAGAAAAGGTTCTTGAATTGATTCTGAAAGGAAAATTGAGACTTCATCAATGAGGAGCGAGAGATCATCAGAAATTGTGGCAACTTTTATTAATGCTGAAATTCCCTCATTAAAAGAAAATGAACATTGGCAAAGAGCTTGCAGTAATTTTTTTGGAAGAGATTAGCAACAAATATCCCAAATGTAAGAGACTTCTCTTATAAAGAGAACTAATTAGATTCTTCTTCACATTGTACAGGGAACACTAATTTCTGAAGCCCCTACATTCTATACTTTTGCAAAAAAAATCAGGAAAGGCAGGCTATAAGTCAGGAAATTTAAGTAAAGTGGCTCAAAGCCCTTATGATTCTGTTCAAAAGTCAGAATTATATGCTATTCTCATGGTATTATTGGACTTTTCCAGAACCTCTTAATATAGTTACTCTCAATATGCAGAAAGTTATTTAACATATTGAAATTGCTGAACTTATTCCAGATGATTCAGAATTAACTTTGTCATTTATTCAATTACAAGAAATAATCAGAAATATAAATCACCCCTTGTATATATAGCACATTTCAGATCCAATACGGGTCTACCAGGCCCTCTGGCACAAGGTGATGATGAAATTGATCATCTATTGATTTAAAAAAAATGTACAAGAAGCCTCAGAATTTCATAAGAAACACTATGTTAATAGCGAAGGTTTGAAAAAAGATTTTTCTACCACTTATTAACAAGCCAAAGAAATTATAAGAAAATGTCCTACTTGTTCTTGGTATAACCAAACTCCACTATCGGCAGGAAATAACCCAAAGGGTACTCAAAGAAATGAAATTTGGCAAATGGAAGATGAAACTGATAAAAGGATTAATCTTGTCAAGAGGAATTTTGTACCTCTAGAATCTGGGGATCCCGGTCAGGAAGAAAGAAAACCATATCAATTCATGCAAGAAGGAAAAGAATCTCCTACTAAGATTAAGCCAACTGGTGGAGGCTGAAATTAGCGGATGATGTAAAAGAAGCCCTGTGAGAGGGTAAGGCAGGATTTCTGGTGTGGTTTGCCCCGGGTTCAGAAACCTGAGGCACGTCCCTTTCCCCCCACCACATTCATCCATGCCTTCTAATCCAACAACCTACTCAAGCCACATTCCACCAAGCAGACACTGGGAAGAGATAAAGGCAACAAGCTGGCTTCCCCTCCTCCTTTCGGTCATTTACATCAATGGGCTGGCATTTCCCGGGGGTGAAGACTGCCCCGTGACCACAGCAAGCTAAGTTTTCTAGTACTGATTTTGTTTTCCAGGCCAAATGGATGAATGGATACTGACACACACACACACACAGTCTTTGTTCTCTTCCTCCAGGTATAGTGTTCATTCATAGTGTTTACTAATTCTCTCATTAACAGCAATGGATCCAGGGCCCAGTGAAAAAGACATCAAAATCCATATGTGCTCAAGTCTCTTCTACAGCATTTGCACATAACACACATTCAGCTTCCTAGGTACCTAGGCCATGTAAATACTTGCTATATACTCTATTGTGTCCATAATACAAGAGAAACCTCTGGACATATCCAGAACGGATAATTTCCCCCACTAGTCTGCTCTCTCTGGTTAAATCCACATATGCTCACCTCAGCTACATGGAGCTGACTGTATTTTCTCTTCCATCATGTTCTGTACAAATTGTAAACTCTAATGGGGAAAGAACTACTTCTTTTTTTCCCACTTCCATAGTTTCTAGGAAAGTGCCTTGCAGCATAAAAGAAATAAGCATTAATTGAGTAAGTAAATGAACTGTTAACTCAGGGCTGAAAAAACAGTCTGACAGATTTTAATCAAGTAGATGCTGTCTTTACACAAATGATGCTTTGCTTAAATTTGCTGGTTTAGGAAATAATGTCTTCAGGAAAAAAGGCTAAATTCTGCCAGAATTACTAATTTAAAAAAAAAAAAACTCCCTCATCTAAGCAAAACTCCTTCCACAAGGCACCCCAATAAAACCATACCTGATAAGCCTATTTATTATTCTTCCTAGTCTCTAACGATATAAGGAATGTTACTGAAATGCATGCAGTAGCTATTAACAAGAAGAGTCATAAATTATAATGTAGATTAATGTGGTAATTATTTTAAACACTTGGAGATGCCAGAAGGCAAGTGCTACGATGTGATCTAAATTCTCATTTTTCTAGTAAATGGACATTATCTGTAAATAGAAAACTACTGAACACCAGAATATTCCTAACAGAGACAACCATGGGGAAAAAAACAGCTGTAACATGTTAGATGAAGTTATCCTGGCCACCAACAACCAAACAAGGAGTACCTAAGAGGTCAGCTGTTTTAAGTAGCAGAGAGCAATTTACTTTTGATCCCTCTGCATATGACTGTGAAGGTCTCATTTCAGGCCTGTGACCCCACTGTTCTGAGCACCAGGAAAATTAACCCATCGTTATTCAGAACCTCCCAGGCCATGCTTGGTGTCAACACTTGAGTACTCTGCGGTAAAGATGAAGGCTCTGGTTCGTGTCCCAGGTCACCCCACCCGGAGATTTTAAAGCACCCACGTACATATACTCCAGGCTCTACATTTTGGAGTGTTATACCCTAGGGGACTTAAAGTGGTGGCCCAGGGTGTGGAACTCCACAGAGCTCAGGGTTCTGCTCATTGCAACATCACCTCTGACGTCAGAGCCCGAATTTTGTAGAACAAAGGCCGAGCAAAGGGTCGGAGTTGACACTACAGATGGGAAAGGAGAGGTGCAGAGCCTAACCCAGCAGGCGAGCGCGCCGGGAAGTGGGGAGAGCGCGATCCCAGCACCAGCAACAGTGGTTCTGCTCGTTCTGCGTGCTCCAGAGGAGCCATGCTCGCACTCCGAAGCGGCCTGAGGAAGGTGCTGGCTCCGTGGGCGCTGGCGCCTCAGGTACCGGCCGCGGCCAGCAGGGAGGTGGGCGGAGCTGTGTGGGGCGCAGGCACTCTTGGTGAGGCTTGGTGCTAAGGGGGTGTCTCGGTTCCCTGGCATCTGAGAGTCTCGGCCTGGGACAACCCTGCCCAGCAGCGACCATCAGTTAGGGCGGGACTGGGATCACGGGAAATTCGACTAGGACAGAAGAGATGAGGACCAAGGGGAGCCCAATGCCCAGCCCTTGCTGTTGAGCACCGGCTTATCCTGGGAATAAATAGTTCCTTCGGGTGGGGAATTTGACCTAACCCAAATGGAGGGAGAGGAATCATGTTAAACTAGTCTAGAGCCGGGTAAACCTTGAGGCAGAGACTAGTGACTGCATGACTGCTCACCCAGCGTTGCCCAGGCAACGCCACCAATTATTTCCTAACAGTTTTTTACTGAACTTTTATTTTTTGTTTGTTTGTTTGTTTTACCAACGTTCTCTTTAATGAGTCGGTGCTGGCAAGAACAAGTCTAAGTTGCAGAAAACGAAGCCCATGATTCCTCCTGTAATTTCAGCGTAATTCTGACCCTACAACAAAAACCTTGAAAACCGTTTCTATCTAGTCACTCACACACCTCTCTGTAGGTTCCCTCCTATATATTATGTCCTGGAAATAATAATGAAAGTTTGTGCCTGTGACAAATATTTCATACTCCAAATGCACACTCACTCTTTGAATCAACCTATAAAGTATTGTGAATGCCATTGACTTACTTTCTGATGTCTCATTAATTTTTAAACTATAGATAATAAGCAGTTCTACTATACCCATTTGTAGATTTTGGTTAAACACACACACACACACACACACACACACACACACACACACACACACACAGTCCATCATACGCAGAGACAGCTGCAGATTTTTATAGGAAGTTTACTGATTTGCACAGTAAGAACACAGTTCAGAGCAGACATTAATGGAATGAACTAAAAGTAGAAAATTATATTAAGCTTTATGTAAAATAAAGTGTTTTTAAGAAAAAATTTATTGGGAGGGAATAGATTGCTTCTTCTATCCATACTAAGTTGTCCATGTGTACAGTGATTTTTCCATACTTTTATATTCATCTGATCTGTTTTAACAGAATTTTCTGGTATTATTAGCTTCATGAAATGGGTACATGATACCCCAACTTGAAAATAAGATGTGTTTTTATAGTACAATGTCATACAATGTGTGTACACACATATATGTGCATATGTACAGACATACACAAGGTAATTTCTGACAAGGAATTTCCCAGGGAAAAGTGCTCTCAGATCAAGAAGTAGAAACTTACATAGTAAATATGATTATTTTTAAAATGATAATACCTGAGAGGCGGAACCACATTGGTACAACTAGATGCATTAAAGTTCATCTTCACTTTGTGTTTCTCATTAGAAATTAATAGTAATTCTGGCAATTGTCTTTTTTAGCATCCATGGTCTATTACAGTGGTTCTCAGCCTGTAAGTCAACCCCTTTAGGGTGACATATCAGATATCCTGCATATCAGATATTTACATTACAATTCATAACAATAGCGAAGTTACAGTTATGAAGTAGTGAAAGAAGTAATGTTATGGTTGAGGGTCACCATAGCATAAGAAACTGTATTAAGGATTGCAGTATTAGGAAGGTTGAGGACCCCGGTCTATTACCAGACTTTGTAATGCAGTTGGATAGTGATAGCATTATAACGCACTGCCTACATTCCAGTTCTATTCCTGTTGAATGTAGGAAGATTTCTTCGACCTGAATGGCAATTTCTCTTTTTTAAAAAAGTTTTCTTTTAGTAAACATGTTTGTTGTGTATGTCCAAAGACATACAGTCTATGGAGTTCTCTCAGATATGTAACTGTAGTCACACATACTACAGATTATAAGAATATAAGGGAAAAACAAAATGTATGTGACTCCTAACTGTAGCTCTCTAGCAGAGGAGCATCTCTAAGGTAGCACTGCCTTAGTTTGGGGCAACTTTCTATGAAAGGGTGGCTTAAGGAGAATCCACATGTTTAACCATAGTTATCTTCAAAATCTACTAAAATATGTTTATGGAGAGTTGACGAGAAAAATGGCAACAGGACTTGGGACTCGGCTATTGTGTCCCCTGTCACCAGACCCAGATTTGGTTGGACGATAACACACATTCTGTGCTCCCTCAAATATTGAGATTTGATTTCTCTTTCTTCAGGTGTGCTCATCTTTTGCTACTGGCCGCAGACAAACTGAAGGAACATTCTATGAGTTTTGTACTTATTATCTTAAACCTTCAAAGATGAAAGAGTTCATGAAAAATTTTAAGAAAAATGTTCATCTTCGGACAGCTCACTCGGAATTGGTTGGATATTGGAGTGTAGAACTTGGAGGCAGAATAAACAGAGTATTCCATATTTGGAAGTATGGTATGAGTTGCCCAGTTCAAATGTTCAGTATAGATTTCTATTCTGGTAGATGCTACAGAAGTCTTGGATGGATGGATAGATAGATAGATAGATAGATAGATAGATAGATAGATAGATAGATAGATATAGATATAGATATAGATTGAGGAGAACTTTTTTTAAAGCAATGCAGAACTAAAAAAGTAAATTCAGTGACCACTCTTCTTGGTCCACCTTTAATAAACTTTCCCAAAGTCTAACGTAACTGGGAAATTATGAGTTCTCAACCATTCATTAAATTGTAGACTACAATTCTCAAAAAAAATAGTGACTTATTGAAAAATGGTTTTAATGCAAAATTTAAAACTATTTACACAAGTCTAAGTAGGTTAAGATCACAGAATAAAAGAGGTATCTGACGCTAGACCTAGATATCCCTGTCTTAGTGGAAGCAGTTTACACATTCTGGATTTTGGATAAATGAAGGGTGAGAGATGATGGCAGTCAACTTTTGATCTTCCCCCTACCCTGAAGCTTATTGATTCCATTGCATTTAGAGACTACTTTCAGATCATTTCTACATCCCAGAGTTAATGAATTTGCTGCCATATTACTCTAAGAAGTTAAGGGAAATACATTACTAAGAGTCCTCATACTGAAGCTGCACTGCCTTGAAAAAGGAGAACATCACAGAATTATTCAGAATGCTTGTTAACTTTTTAAAAGTCTAACCTTAAAATAGCCTTCACCAGGATTTGAGCATATGTTCAGCAAACTCTTAACAATTAATTGCATTTAGTATTTGGTCATCTATGTTCAATTAACATTCACAAAAATTCTTTAGTGAGAAAAGATTCTGTAGATGACATGGGTATGCTTTGTTTTGTTGTGGTTTTTTTTTCAGTTTTAAAAGACAACAAACACTGTTAGCACAACTTAGGCTTCGCACATGGTTCATTTTAAGTCATGGCCCACTGAGGAAAGTAATGAAGTCTTAATTTACCTCACTTTAGGCATATGTTATTCCTATTCCTAGCATAAACTACATAAATATTTTACCTTAGTCTCATAAGGCCTTTACGATAAATATAGTACTAGGCCATACATAGTTAAACGTGTCTACCTACTTCAGTAACTAAGAAAGCAGAGAGTGCTGGAGGGTAACAATGGCTGACAATAGTATGAGAATCAGCACTATTTCTTTGGAAGTTATTTGTACAAAGGAACCAATGCCAAGTACATTCAAATTTCATTTAATGTTAAAATTTATTCAAGGTAAGACTTGACTACCTATCAACACACTGAAATAAAGTTTGTCTTTCAGCTGACACTGTCAGTTGAATGCCTTAATTGAATAGTAGGAACAGTCCACATGTGAGCGTTCAACACTATTGTAAGTCCTCTTTATTCATGTAATCCTCACCACAGACCTGGGGTTGATGTGACATTATTTACTTGTTTCACAGACTCAGAAACAAGGCAGATGAACATACAGTAGCTTAACTCCTGTACACAGCTACCTTTGAAGAGATAAGACCTGTGAAGCCCATTCAATGAGATCACATCGGTTGTTTTCATTTCTTTAGCCCTGAAAACCAGGAGCAACTTGATGCAGATATGACATTTCTTCACATAGCTGTTCCCAAATCCACAAACACAGTGTTCTTGTGTGCTCCAGATGAATGATTAATGATCTGGCTGTAATACAAAGAAGCATCGATGGTTTTAAACCCATTTTTTTAAAAAAAAAATTTCTCCATTCTTTTCTACCGTAGATAATTTTGCTCATCGAACTGCAGTTTTCAAAGCCTTGGCCAGTGATCCAGAATGGCATGAACGATTCCTCATTCCAAATTTGGCTTCCATTGATAAACAAGAGAGTGAAATTGTCTATCTGGTACCATGGTGCAAAATGGGAACGCCTCCCAAGGAAGGTGTGTCTCTCTTTGCCTCTGTGAGTTTTCATGACTGAAATGGTACAGATGTTAAATTCTTACGTACTTTGAGACCAGGGGGAGCCTGCCTTTTATGTATGGACATAAGTAATCATTAAGATAAAAGTAAAGTGCAGCTCTTTGCTTAGCCTTAAAAAGTGAGGACCAATGAAAAATTCTTCCTACTTGAAGGTTTCTGGATTTGTAAACCTTAGCTATGTTATAGAAAATTTCCATGGTCAATAAAGGTTGAACACTGCATATTGAGAGCCAGGAGACCATTGGTGGGGTGGTGAGCACTCATATATTCTATCATCATTTTAAAACAATATTAATATTTAAATATAACTATATTTTATATATCCCTATACAAATGTAGATATGTTTATTATATTAAATATGTGTATAAGTTACACTCAATTTTAAATCACTGTCTATGTTTTTCCTACAAAACAGACCATTTGGGGGTATTGATTAAGTGGAATAGCCAAGCTCTATTACCATAATAACTTTTGTGTTCCTCTTCCTTACTTTCAGTTTGAAAAGAATTCTTTGTCTTCTTGCTGATTTTACTTCTTGTGTGTTTAAAGAAACTATTTGCTAAGTCTAATTTTTATAAGGAGTCAGATTAGAAAAGCATAAACTAATTAGAAATTTATTTTTCTTTGTTGTTCTCAGCTTTGTAGCATGTTTTAGATGACACCCCAAAGAAACCTGAAAAGCCTTATGTGGCTCCTGCCCCTATAGGTCTCCTAGAAGCTCTCAGCACATCTAAATAAAATAGTTGTCTTCTCCATTAGGTCTACTTGTCACCTAGTTCTTTGCCTCTGCTGATTCTACACTTCTATGGAGAGATAAAATGCATTTCAAATATGTAGATAAAATATTTAGGAACAATAAAATTATATCTATAGGTTGGTTTGTTTTGCCAAAATATGGAAATATAAATATCATTTCTGCTACATTGTTAGATTTCTCTTCCTATTGGATATGAAAATTTACAGTGGCAAAATACACAAAGAAAAATGGTGGAAGTTGAAAGTAAAAACATAGGCATTGCAGAAAAACTTTATTTTATTTTGCTGTTAACCTCTGATTTTATACATTCATGGCAAGTGCTCTGTCACTGAGCCACCTCTCCAAATCCACAGAAAATTATTTGATTAAGTTCTTTCCTAAAAGTATACATTTAGGCCATTCAAAATATCTTACCCTACCAATTTCTCAATATCTACTTTAGTAACAAGTTTTCACACTAAAATATTTCAGATAATAATTTATATATAGTTTCTAGTTCTTCTCTTAAAACCATTTTAATTCATTCTGTCTCTCTGTCTCTCTGTCTCTGTGTGTGTGTGTGTGTGTGTGTGTGTGTGTGTGTGTGTGTGTGTGTGTGTGTATGCAGTGAATGTAGATACCTGCTGTGGAAACCAGAAGTGTGAGATACACTAACTAGTTAAAGGCAGTTGCAAGCTCCTGACATGGGTGCTGGGAACTGAACCTTGGTCCTCCGCAGAAGCAGTTCATGCTCATAACTACAGAACTATCTCTCCAGCCCTCACTGGCCCCCTACTTTTTGTCATCTGTAGAATTAAATGTAATAGCATAAATAAGTTAAACATGGACAATGGATTTCTAAGCATAAAATTAAGGGAAATAATGCAAATGTAATTAATGGAGCTATATAAATGTATATACATACAATCCTTCAAATATGTACATTTAGACCAGGCTTCTACTGAAGCCAAGTGAATATGAATATGAGTAAAATTTCATTGACTATCATTATTTAAATTACTTTTTCCTTATTCTAGGAGTCTATGAACTTGCTACTTTTCTTATGAAACCTGGTGGCCCAGCTCTATGGGGTGACCCATTTGAAAGAGCAATAACTGCCCATGCCAAACAAGGCTACACTGAACTAATTGGTGTGTTTCATACAGAATATGGAAAACTCAACAGAGGTACAGATGTCCATTTATTTTAAAATTTCTGTGTATATTAGTGACCTATTTATCTGCTAGGATCCTTTAGTTAAAGTTCATATATTATTGTACTTTTATCATTTTAAAGAGTTGATAACTTGTCTCTTTCCTATTTAGAATTTAACACCTACCAAAACTATTTTGAAATGCTAAACTTCTGTTCCCTGGCACATAAAATGAACAAATTTTAATAACCATAAGAACCTCAAGAAATAGTGTATTTCTTTTATAATCTTTTTATTCCTTTAAATATATTATCAGTGCTAGGGATTGAACCCAGGGCCTTATGCATGCTAGACTGAACTATATCCCCTGTCCTAATTAGGTTTCTATTGCTGTGATAGCACACCACAACCAAAAACAACTTGGGGAGGTAAGGGTTTATTTCAGCTTATTCTCCCTGTTAGTAGTCCACCATGAAGAAAAGTTGGGCAGGAACTCAAGGCAGGAACCTGGAGGCAGGAACTGAAGCAGAAGCCAGAGAGGAATGTTGTTTACTGGTCTTCTGCCCCTGATTTTCTGAATCTGCTTTTTATATGACCCAGGTATACATTCCCGAGCCAGGAGTGACACCAGCCCCAGTTGGCTCATCTCTTCCACACCAATCATTAATCAAGAAAAATGCTCCACACTCTTGCCCCAATCTATCTTATAGAGCACATTTTCTCGCTGAAGCTCTCTCTTCTCAGATAAATAAGCTTTTGTGTCAAGGTAACAAAAAACTAATACAATTTAACCATTGTCAGCTTGACATATAAACACATCATGATTAAAGTATAAACTTTCCCTTGTTTGTCCCCAAGATGCCATGTTAATATTATCACAGTATAAAATGTAGTATAACTTTAAAAGTCATACCATCTTTAAAAGTTCAATCTCTTAAGCCGGGCGGTGGTGGCGCACGCCTTTAATCCCAGCACTCGGGAGGCAGAGCCAGGCGGATCTCTGTGAGTTCGAGGCCAGCCTGGGCTACCAAGTGAGTTCCAGGAAAGGCGCAAAGCTACACAGAGAAACCCTGTCTCGAAAAACCAAAAAAAAAAAAAAAAAAAAAAAAAGTTCAATCTCTTTAAAATATCCAAAGTCTCTTAACTGTAAGCTCTTGTAAAATCTTATTCCAAGATGGAAGATCCAGAGCACTGTATCAAATTCAAAGCAAACCCAAAATTCAATTGTATAAAAAAGTTCAGTGCCTGACATCTGTGATCTACTCTTGGATCGATTGTCTGGACTTCAAAGGGCCATGGAGGCTCCACTTCTCAAGTTTTGCCCAACCTCAGAACCCACAGGTTGCCTCCTAGACTCAGCCTGCTCTGCTCCACAGCTGCAGTCTCTCACTATCCTGGCATCTCCAATGTGCTGAGTCCTCTGCTGCAGCTAAGGCTGCATCCTCACCAGTGACCTTTCCTGGTCTCTCTTCAGAGACTCCAACCCTGCTACACAGTACCAAGTCTGCTCTGCATGACACCTGTATGCCTTCAAAACCAGTACCACCTGGGTGACCCTTACAGCTGCCAACTTAAGATGCAAAAATAAAGTACTATAAAATATAGTAGGAAGTCATACAGTCTGGATCTTGAGTTCCTTTAGCTATAAGCCAGTTTCATTTCTTCATCTATAAAACCAGTTGGATTAATTAATCTATAATTTTTTTTTCCAAGTCTCTGACTCCTCTGAAATCTTATCACTGAAATATTTAGTATCAGTCTTTTAACTTAAAGTAATTGGATTTTTTTCTTTACTTAATTTCTCTGTATATGTGTGTAAATGCCTTTCTGATTTACTTCTGCAGTCCATGTTCTGTGGTGGTGCGAGAACGCGGACAGTCGAGCAGCTGGGAGACATCGGTCTCACGAGGATCCCAGAGTCGTGGCTGCTGGTGAGCTGTTTCATTGGGTATGTGTTATTTTTTGAAACAATTTGATTCAGCTTATAACTTTATATGTCTTATGCAATGTCTTTCCAGTTCGGGAAAGTGTCAATTACCTAGATATACAGCAGAATATGCTCCTAATTCCTGAGTCGTTTTCACCGTTGAAATAGTTTTCTACCGACGGTTTCAGTACCTGATGTGATGTGTGCCAGTAGACGGTGTTTCAATTCTCTCAACTGAATTTCTACTTTTTATTTGAAGGAAGTGGTAAGTTAATTTACTATGTCCCTTGCATTTTTTAAGCCCATCTAGGTCCCTTTTATTAAACCCATCTATACATGGGAAATAGAATTCATTTTTCCCCATGCCACTTCATTATCTGACATGCATTATGGCAGTGGCACATGCCTTTAATCCCAGCACTCGGAGGCAGAGCCAGGCGGATCTCTGTGAGTTTGAGACCAGCCTGGTCTACAGAGTGAGATCCAGGACGGGCTCCAAAACTACACAGAGAAACCTTATCTCGAAAATCAAAAAAAAAAAAACTATTTTAAAAATAATGTCATTTGGTCCCAGTAAAATCTTTGAATGTTCTTTGGTTTATAAGCTGAAATGTCTTATTAATAATTTTACTAATATTTACTTCATTCATATGCTTTCTAACAAAGATACTTGGTCACTATATCAAGATCTTTGTTTTTCATTTGTTTCAGAATAGTCTTCTGTAGGACAACCCCTTGTTCAAATGAGATCACATTTCCAAGCTTGTAACCATATTTTTAAATTATTAATAAATATGTGAACCTTGTAAATTTTGTCTTTATGCCTGAAATGTTTTGCTCCAGTAGCTGATTTTGTAATATAAAATGGAATTCATGAAAATATTAAACTTTTTTCATATGAAAAACTGTATAATCATCTGTGTTGTCTGTATTGTCAGTCACTCACTTAGAAAATAATAGGTCAGCATACTAAAAGTTTAGATGACTCTACTTTATATGCTGAAATGTTATTTATAATTAATTTAACTAATATTTATTTCATTTTTTATCCTACTTAACAGAGATGTTTGAAATATCTTTATTTAAATGTCATCATTATAGATGTGGAAACATTTGCCCTAATTAAAAAAATTACCAGCCGGGCGGTGGTGGCACACGCCTTTAATCCCAGCACTTGGGAGGTAGAGGCAGGCGGATCTCTGTGAGTTCGAGGCCAGCCTGGGCTACCAAGTGAGTCCCAGGAAAGGCGCAAAGCTACACAGAGAAACCCTGTCTCGAAAAACAAAACAAAACAAAACAAAACAAAAAAATTACCTATATATTCTGGTGCTTTTTACTAGGTTTTATATTTTTGTCATCCTCTTTGGAATTGATGTAATGAGGAGAAAGGAATAATTTATTGTCCTTATTGTAACTATGCATACATTAAGGAAACATCATGCTACTTGTTACGGTTTGGATATAGAATAGCGCCCCTCCCCCAATCTCATCAGTTGACTTAGTCAACTAGTAGCAGCAACAGTAGGAGGTGGTAAAAAGCTTAAGAGGTAGGGTCTAGATGAAGAAAATACATCTCTGGTCTTGGGCCCTTGAAAGGTATATTGGAACCCCTTCCTCTGTCTCTGTTTCCTGGTTGCCACAAAGTGAGCAGCTTTTTCCCAACATAATGTACTACCTCAGAGTAGTCCAAAAAGCAGCTGTGCTAAGCACCCATTCCTAAAGTCCCTAAAAACATAAAACAAAATAAACCTTTCTTCTTCTAACTTTATTGTTCACAGGTATTTTGTCATAGCCAGGCCTTTCCTGTTCCATCAAGACTGTAGGATCGTTGCATTACAGCTACAAACATGTTTATCTCTCACCATTTGGAAAGGATTGACATGAGTCTCACTTTTGGACATAGCAGCCCAACCCACTAGGCAGGGAGGACAGGCAGTGTCTTGGTTTTGTTTCTGTTGTACTGGCAGGTAGGTGAAGAGTTCTGTATACCTTGGTTCCCATTTGGAAGAGATCCATGATGGTCTGGGGAACTAAGGTTGTGGTACACTTCTCTTCTCCAATCATTCAGGTCTTGTGCCTGAAGGACATAGTAGCATCACCTAGGAGGGCCTGGACTGTCTGGATGCACTAGGAGCACAGAATAATCTGGAAAAGATGAACACAGTCTCATTTGTTTATCTTTGTTTGGGTCTTCAGGTTTGTTTGTGTTTGTCTTGAAAAGTGATCTCATTGTACAGTCTAGGGTAGTCTAGAACTCACTGTCTGGCTATGATTTCCTCAAGCTCCTATCTTCCTCTCCCCACTTCTGTGCTGACTAGTTTTATGTCAACTTGACACAATCTATAGTCATCTGAGAAGAGGGAATGACAACTGAGAAAATACCTCCATAAGATCAGACTATAAGTAAGCCTGTAGGGCATTTTCTCATTTAAGTGAATGATGTGGGAGGGCCATCTCTGTGCTGATAGTCCTGGGTTCTATAAGAAAGCAGGCCAAGCAAGCCATGGGAGATCAAGCCAGTAAACAGCACCCCTCCATGGCCTCTGCATCAGCTCCTGTCTCCAGGTTCTTATCCCATTTGAGTTTTTGTCCGGGCTTCCTTCAATGATGGACTATGATGTGAAGTATAAACCAAATGAACCCCTTCTTCCCCAACTTACTTTTGGTTATGGTGTTTCATTACAGTGATAGTAGCCCTAAGTAGGACAGCTTCCTAAATGTTGGAATTACAGGCCTGTACCATCATAGAGGCAGAGATAGTCAGATCTTTGTGAGTTTGAGACCAGCCTGCAGAGAGAGTTCCAGGACAGCCAAGGCTACACACACACACATACACACACACACACACACACACACACACACACACACACACACACACACACAAAAAAAAACCTGCCTCAAAAAACAAAAATGAAATCTCTAAAGATTGAACTTTCTTCAATCTAATCAGAACCAGCATTTGCATACAAAAGATATTCACTGATCTGTATTCAAGACACTATATATTGAAAGTCCATAGTTAACAAGACAAAGTACCTGCTTTCATGTAGTCAGTATTCCTGAAGAATTATATAAGACATACAAGTTAAATAGCATAACCTTGGCTAAAAATAGAGCAAAAGAGGAGGGCAGTGAGTGGGGTAACAAGGGTCCATTTTATCTAGAGGTAATCTCTCTGAGATGATTATCTACCAAGAATCTCAACAATGAGAAAGATCAAGCCAGGAGGACTTAGAGAGAAAGAATGCTGCAAGCAAGGGTGCCAGAATGTGTACGGACAGAAGTTCTCAGAAGAAATGAGTTTCAATGCTCAACAACTAACAGGAAGGCAGTGGGCAAGAATGTAGTGAGCTAAGAGGAAGAGTGAAGTGAAGAAAGAGAGGTAGGAGCCGACTCACACAGACCTGGGAAGGAGTTTGGATTTTCTGCTCAATGTGCTGAAAACTGCTGTGGTGTTTAGCAAGATACATATTTTTTTTAATTGTGTGTGTGTGTGTGTGTGTGTGTGTGTGTGTGTACCATTGGAGGCCAGAAGAGGGTGCTGGATCTCTGAGAGCTGGAGGTACAAGTAACTGTGAGCAATCTAACGCGGATACTGGGAGCTGAACTTAGGTCCTCTGTAAGAACAGTATGTGCTCTTAACCCCTGAGCCACTTCTCCAGCCCCTAAATCCTAATTTAAAAAAAAAAAAAAAATAAGATTCTGTAATGAATTTTTTTTCTGAGGATGTTAAGTCCTCTAAATGTTTGCTCCTTACACTCTCTGGGTTACTGTATTAGCTTTTTCAAAATGAAGTGATTCAAAGGACAGTGGTGCTGATAAATGCAGTGGCAGAGACACTGAGTCCAGCTTAGCACGGAGCAGTGGTTCTCAACCTATGGATCACTACCCCTTTGGAGGTCAAATGACCCTCTTTCACAGGGGTCACAATATCAGATATCCTGCATATCAAATATTTACATTAACATTCACAACAGTAGCAAAATTACAGTTAGGAAGTAGCAACAAAAATAACTTTTATGGTTGGGGGTTACTACAACATGAGGAACTGTATTAAAGGGTTACATCATTAGGAAGGTTGAGAACCACTGGCATAGATGAAGGCTGAGGGAACAAAGCCTGGACCAGAAACCAGAAGATCTGAATCCTGGTTCTGACTCTACTACAAATGTGTCGATGTGACATCACTTACCCCTTTAGACTCTGTTTCCTTGGTTGTAATCTAAGAATTAGAACATGTTCAGACCCCACACTCATAGAACCACCTCCCCAGCAATGGCTACATGCAGAGACAACAGCAGTCATTGTCTCCCATGATCAATTCAGAAAGCATGATTATCTAAATCCCTATTTGAAACGTCTCACACTCTACCTGCTCTCAAAATAATGAGGTACACATACTTTACAAGTAAACCCAAGGCCTTTCCCTGTGTTGCTGACAAACTTGTTCCCTAAAGGCATGGATATTTAATTGATGCCCTTAGTTCTATTATTCTATAATATCAGTGTAGAAACGTATCAAGTGAATACAGTCACATAACATATAATGTTTTGGTTAGTTGTGGACTGCTGTGGATATCACTCTGTATAAATAAAACACTGATGGCCAGTGACCAGGCAGGAAGTATAGGTGGGACAAGGAGAGAGGAGAATTGGGGAAACAGGAAGAAGGGGGAGAGACACTGCAGCCACCGCCAGGAGAAGCAGCATGTGAAGACACCGGTAAGCCACCAGCCACGTGGCAAGGTATAGATTTATAAAAATGGGTTAATTTAAGATATAAG